GGAGGGAAGGAAGGAGGGAGGGAGAGGTACCCTCCAGTGTTGTCCATCCTGCCCAAGTGTCATCTTAGAAAAATGCTAAATGAGCATCGGTAGTCACAGGGATGAATCTGCCTTTTCTCCTCTCCGCTGCAGTCACTGGGATGCGGGATGGGATTTGGAAGCGGAAGTGGATCCAGAGGAAGCTTCCCTGCCTTGGGTCTCCCTCCAAGTTTATTCATAATCAGCTCAATCCATGCAAGCGGTTTCTAAAGTGCTCTTCAGAGAGCTCTAGATAGAAAATATGAAACTAATTATCATGGCAACTCATACTGGTTATGGTGATTATTGCCACCGCCAGGATGAATGATTGTGACTGCGACCGGTCCTGTGGGTGGTGTGTTACTCTGGTGGATTGGATTGTAACTCTGGGCCTCACTGGCTCCCTAGAACACATGGGGGTACCCAGGCCATCCCTGAGGGACCGCCCAGGAGCTGTGGCCTGGGAAGAGTGCAACCTCTGGGAGCCCCTTAGCAGAGTCCTGGCACTGGCAGGCTCCGAGGGTCTCCCCAGGATACTCCCACTTTTCCCCCACCTCCCTAGCCAAGGATCTCCCTCATGGAGTAGTGCTGGTCTTGACCTTGGCGAGGACTTTCTTCTCCTTAACCCGGCGGTTCTGAAACCAGATGGTGATCTGGCGCTCTGAGAGGCTGGTGGCTGCCGAGATCTTGCGCCTCTTGTCCTTGGTGATGAACTTGTTAGCTGAATACTCGCGCTCCAGCTCACGCAACTGCCCCTTGCTGTAAGGAATGCGCTTCTTTCGGCCACGTCGGAAGGTGCAGCCGTCTGGAGGGTGCTGCGTGCCTGACTCTGAGCCGGAAGGAGGGAGAGAAAGCCACGCTCAGACCTCTGCCCGCAAGCCCACGCGCAGACCCAGGCCCTACAAGCTAAGTAATCCTACGGGGAGCACCCAGATCACCCTTCAGACACGCGTGAGCTCCACTCCCCCAAAGTGCAGGGGGACACCTCGACTTCCGGCTGGTTTCTGATGACCGCTTAGGCTTGGAAAGACCAGGCTTCTGCAGGCCACCCTCACCTATCACTGTCCTCACGATTGCAGGTCTGCAAACACACCCATCACACACAGCCGGACCTTTGCCCACAGTCACATATATCCACCCTCACATGTATTTTCAGACTCTTGACCACTCTTGTAGATTCTACAGGCAAATTACGTAGAGAAAGGAACACATTTCTGCCTCCACACCCAATACACACACACACACACACATTCACACAACACGCACGCATACACACACCCCTAAGTTCGGACTGCAGGAAGTCTAAAATTTCCTTTGGAAACTGAAAAATTCACCTGAGAGAACATGAGGATTTGAATTCTTTACAGAACATCCAGTATCTGTGTTCCTACCCACCCCTCCGCCCCATACTCACTGAATTGAGTCATTTAGCCTTTTGGTAGAATTAAACCTGGGATCTGAGAGGGACGAACGGCATGAGCCCCAAGAGCAGCAAAAAGAACCAAACACTTGGAGGTATGAAAAGCTGGCCCCAAGGCCTCCTAGGGAGGCGAAGGCACCTGGTGGCCCACAGGCTTCAGACCCCTCACACTGACCCTCTGGGGCCTCCACCCTGGTTCTTCAACGGCCTGAACTCTCCTTCAGAGTCCTAATAAGCCAACAGGAGCTCCTCCTCACCAGCCCCGGCTCCCTTCACTTCCTCCCATGCCAGCGCCCGCCGGCCTACAATCCACAGTCAGCACCAGCGGGACCCAAAGTAGTGGGGCAAGTTACCTGCAAAGGCCGCCTTCCAGAAGGGACCCGGTGGGTTCTGTTCCCCCTGGCAACACATCTGGCCGTTCCAGCCACCGGTGAGAGCCCAGGGCTGGTAGCTGTCCACAGGCAGCAGGGATTCGTGGCGCGGCTCCCCCGGGGCGCCCAGGGTCTGCACCACCGACACATCCAGGTAACTGGCCATAGGCTGGTAGGGTCCCGGGTACCCGGGATAGAAGGCAAACTCGGTGGGGCGGCTGGGGTACTGCTCCCCGGCCGTGGCAGTCTCCGCGGAGTAGGCAGCTAGGGGGGCCGCCTGGGCACAGGGTTTCAGCGAGCTCCGGGACACCCGGCAGGAATAGTACCCGCCTCCAAAGTAGCCGTAAGGCACCGGAGCCGGGGCCGCCCCCTGGGGCAGCCCGGGGCACGGCTGGCACTGCTTTGGCGGCTCCGCGGAGCCTGGCAGATCCAGGGGGGCATGGCTGACGGCGGGCATCAGCGTAGGCGCCACGGCCGGGTGGCCGGTCGGGGGGCAGTGGGCGACTAGATGCCGACTCCCTCCGGCTCCCGGCAGGACTTCCAGATCCTTGGCCCCGTCCAAGGCGGCGTAACTGCCGGGCTCCATGGGGCCGAGGGTCGGCTCATGGGGTGCCGGCGGTGGGGGATCCAGGGGGCACCCCGCTCGCTCTCCCCACCCGGGCCCCCCGGGCGCGCAAGGCGTTTTAAATCGCTCCCAGCTCGCACGGCGCCTGCCTCCGCTCGGCCCGGCCCGGCCCGGCCTGACGCAGGAGACGCAGGTGCCGGGGCTCGCGCGCTCATTGGCTGCGGCCTGGGGGACACAGACGCTCAGAAAATCCTCCGGGCAGAAACCGCGAAAATACTTCACCCCTGCTTCGGTCTCCCCCCTCCTCCCTCCCTTCCTCCCTTCCCCCCTCCCTCTCTCTTCCTCCCTCCCTCTCTCCCTCCCTCCCTCGCCCCCTTTCCCTCTCTCCCTCCCTCTCTTGCTCTGTCTTCAAAAAAAAAAAAAAAGTGCTCAGGATATTTCTAATATTTTATTAACTTGTGATTACTCCCTGAAAATCTTAAGAAGTGTTATTGGATAATACTTAGTTTTATTTTAACCTGTTGACCAAATTGATTCTTTTTTTTAAATATTTTATTTATTTGAGAAAAAGCATGCACAAGCGGGGGGTTGGGCGGGGGGAGAAGCAGCAGTGGGAGAAGGAGAAGCAAGCAACCCACTGAGCAGGGAGCCTGATATGGGGCTCAATCCCAGGGCCCTGGGATCATGGCCTGAGCTGAAGGCAAAGTTGCTTAACCAACTGAGCCACCCAGGCGCCCCAACCAAATTGATTCTTGAGAATGGGCATATTCCCAGGTATTAGGATAAAATTGCTAATATTTGTGAAGTGCCTGTTATTAAAATGCAAAGCCTTACCATGCAGTGAGGGGGAAGAAAAGGAGTAGCTTTAGGACCGTACAATTAGAAACACCCCCTAAAGTAGTATACTTAGTGTGTTGTCCAGCACGCCTACTTTTCAGGGACTCTATTAGCCCTTAGCATTACACCCCAAATGTATGTGTGTGAATGCATAGATGTGAAATTTTTTGAATGGAAGTTCCATGGCTTTCATCGCACTTTTGAGGAGGGCTGTTACCCTTGCCACCAAAGTTTAAGAATGATGGCACACTAGGGGAAAATGAATAATTGGCACCAATGTAGTGGCAGGCGAGTAGACTTAATGCAGCCGCCAAGCAGATGGAACAGGGCATCTACAGAAGGGGCTGACCGTCAGAGGTGACCATCCTCTAGAAATGGGGCAGGAGCAAAGCACGAGTAGGGAATTGGACTAGAAGGAAAAACTCTGTTCCAGCAGACTACAATGGATTACAAATACTGTGGTCAGTGGAACGAACTTATAGCCGTAGAGATGAGAGAAGAAGGCTTTGTGGAAGAGGAAGAATCGAAGGAAGCTTTGAATGATAGGTTTGGACAAGCAAAGGCAGAAAACAGTTTCTCTTTTAGACAAGAGTTGAGGATATATAAATAATCCATATGCATATAGTCTGTATCTGGGACATAAATAATTTTAGGTGAGAGTTATAGATTGAATAAATAGGCCAGTGTTGATTTCTGACCTTACTATATAAATGAAGGAATGATTATTTCACATTACAAATGAATCACCATATGGTCCATTTAATGTTAGTTCCTGAATGTGTTTCAAATGTGGTTTATTTAATTTACATAAATTCACTTTATAATATTTCATGAATATGGATATTTCCTAAGACAAAGTAATTGGAAATCTGTCCCGTGTGGCTGTATTGTTACAATTTCTTATGATTTTGTGATTTGAGTAATTATAGAAAATCTTTTGTTATTTAAGCATTAAGAAATGATACCACACATAAATTCATCAACCACTCATCAACCACTGCTACTATTCTGATCTAGATTCTAGAAAATAAGGAAGCATTTTGCTATTCAGATGATAGCCACAGAAAGATCTATAGATTTTCTTAAGGTTGTTAAAAAATATCAACTCTTGCATTAGAATCCAGACTTCCTACGTTCTAGTTTGTTCTTTTTTTTCCTAAAATACTATATATAAAAATAAGAAGAGCATTGTATGGCGGGGAAAAGAAGGAGAAAAAGGAACTAGCATAGAAGGGTAGTAAGTGATCTGTGGTCTGACCCTAGACATGGGTACAAGTGAGCTGTGATTGACTGGGATGCCTTTCCTTTTGGGGAGCTTGGGTTCCAATTGGTAGAAATTTTCCATGCCCCTTGGATTTCACCACCCATCTGGCAGCAAGGCTGCCTCTTTCTCTCTCAAAATAAAGGGCCCAGATCAGTTTCCTTATTTTATCTTCCACTGGAGGATACTCTGATCAGAGGAATCCTATCTTTTGAAATTGTGGAAAATCTTTCCTTTAGGTTATAAACATTCCATGTTTGGTTTTCTTTTCTTGGTCTGAATCTAGTTATTCTTATTACTGACTTTTTAAAAAATTATACTAATATGTTTATTTTCTTACATTAGAGACAGTAAGATGGCTTTGATAAGCTTAATTCTATGTGTTCCGTTTCTTTAAAAGTCCCAGTTTAAAGGAGCCATAGAGGATTGTGAATGATACTCTTAGCAGTCATCTTTTTAGAATGAGGTATGGTATATCTAACCGCATTAGTGATTTGTCACACTACAAAGGAAATGCTATGGTTTAAAAAATGTTTTCTAATGCCATCACTATGTTCTCACTGTTAGTCTTCTGAAAATCAGTGTGCTTTGAATTGTGTTGTCATAATAAATGAGAAAAGAACATTTCTGTATGTGCAGGTTTATGTGCCAGATCATAATTTTAAAACATGCAATGCATAGAATATATGTACCAATTTTCCAAAGGGAAGTTAAAACATGAAGTTACATAATATTTGAAGTTTCTAGTGTAACTCTTAATTTATTTTTGGATTGATCTTAGAAACTTCAAGCTTAAAATGAGTAAGTGGGCAATAAAAATACTAAGTGATTACATTTACTACTAAGTGCTATTCATTTCTCTAAGAACTTTGCATTATTAACTCATTTAGTCCTCGCAACAGCCCTGTAAAATGGGTGGTATTCTCATTCCCATTTTACAGATGAGGAAATTGTAGCACAGAGAGAATAAGGCACTGCCCACAGCCATCTACCTCCAGGTGTAGGAGCCTGAAATTGACCCCAGTCGTCCAACTTAACCTGTATGTTCAGTGCCCATGTAGTTGATTTCAGTATCGTCGAAATTACTCAATTTTAGCTACTGAGCTATAATTTAAATCATACTGCATGATCTGAATAACATAGATACGCAAATTGGAAGTAGAATTTCGTTAAACTCAATTGTAAAAGAAAAATATTAAATAAATATTTAGCTTTTCTGATAACTGTGACAGTTAAGAAATTGAATTTAAGATTTCACCACTGTACAGGATAGATTTAGTTATAAGAACAGTGAACTGTTAGAGGTAGTTTTGGCACTTTGGACTCACGGGTTTGTTTATTTTTTCTAAAACATTGTAAGTTTCTGAATCCCTTAACTATAACATACAGCTTTGTTATCAGTGCAAAAGAACAATACGAGAAACTTTTTAAGTTACATGAAAGTATGGAGAAGTCATACCAGAGTATGATGGGATACTACACCATTGATGTGAAGAAGATGTCTGTGGAAGACTTTTTAAATGACTTGAATAACTTCAGAACCACATTCATGGTATGTTAAAAATTTTAATTTGTTTTTTGAAAAGGTGTCTGTGTCTATACTATCGCATCGATTATTACTTTAATCTCATTACTTTATTACACTCTTGTTGTCTGTAGTAAAATAAAATCTACCTTTCCCGATGTTGAAAGTTAGCTTTAAAAATTTCAAATTTTAATACTATTGAAAAATGTGCAGTTTGTGCTCTTTTTGGCCTTCCCAACATTAAGCTGTAATCGGAAATTTTGATTGAAAATGTGACAAATTCTAAAATTTTTCATAAAGACTCCCCTCCTGGCCAATTATAGAACACTTTTGTAATCTGTTTTTGGCTATGAATTTGTTTCTTTATACTTAAGCTCAATTTGTATTTTTGTGGTATAATTTTACCAAATTCCATGAAGCTTTTATGAAGCCTTTTTTCCCCCCCTTTTCTTTTCTTAATGCATTGTACAATAAGCTACCTGTGATTTGCCTTTGAGTGGATTTTACATTCCTAGCGTTTCCTTTAGATACTTTAATAGGGAGGTCAGGTCTTTGATGTGGAATCCTTTCATTTAGGCATTAAAAAGATCTTTGAAAAGTATTAGCTGATTAGATGAGGAAAAAAACCACACACATATTAAAGTGAGAAAGCATTTTTGCCTCCCTGGGGAAACTGGTGATACATTTCTGCAACAAAAAATTATGTTATTCTTAATAGATGGGTAAGTCATTTCTCTATTTCAGCAAATGTTTGTGGGGATTAAAAAGTTTCGAAGGGTAAAGAAAAAAGCTTGAATTTTAAAGAAGTGGTTCTTTTTACTCTCAGGAAAAATTTAGTGCTGAATTTATTGGACTTGGTTATAATCACTTGGTTATGAGATAGTCCTTTAATAAAAACTCAGTATTTTAAAGGAAAACTAGTCTATAATAAATACACATTTGCTCATAGCTTTAGTTTTTTCCCTTCGCAAATTCAAGATGATTCTTTAGTTTTTCACTACCAGAAGTGGAAGAAGTGGATTTGATTGATAAATATATGCCTATATGTGTGATATATTGTACAGTATATTTAACTTTTATATCTTACGAGGCAACATGGCTTAGTGGAAGTAGCATAGGTTTTGGAGTCTGGGAGAACTAGGTTTGGACTCCACACTAGTTATGTGACTGTGAACTGCTGTAACCTTCCTGAGCCTCAGTTCCCAAATAAATAGAAATACTCGTTCCTTTCTCGTAAGAGTGTTTATTAAACCAGCTAATATATATTAAGTATTTATCACAGCTCCTTGCACATGGTAGTTGTTTAATAAATCAGTGTGCAGTGAAGGATTAACTTAATAGCCTTGAGGTATTTCAACCCTGCGTATTTCAAAGAAAATACTAGCCCTCCATTGGCTCCTGGGAGATCACCTGTAAGCCCGTGGAATATGCTGTCTCATAAGGATGTTTTTTTATGCCTGGGCCTTGGACCAAACTATAGATAGGTTTTGCTAGAATTGTGATTTATGGTGAGTACCTGTTCTTGTTCACCTGAAGCCCTGGAGTGCACTGTTCAGTTTCTCCTCTATAGGAGGCTAGAGACTGAGTAGCTAAGGTTGTCCATGTGGAAGGTCCATGCCTATGTGACTGACCTTCCCAATAAAAACTCTTGACACCAAGGCATGGGAGAGTTCCCTTGGTTGGCAGTACTTCATATGTGTTGTCACACATCATTGCTAGAATAATGGAACTCCTCTGGGAGAAGTCAGTGGTGGTTTTAATCTGTGCCCTTTCACTGTAATAAACTGTAACCATGAGTACAAGAGCTTTTCTGGGTTCTGAGTCCTTCCATCAAATTATCAAACCGGTGGGTGGTCTTAGGGACCCTTAACACAATTATGCATAAAAGTATAAAATAGATATATGAAATAATAACACCTGTCATATAATGAGTGTTCCGTGAACCAGATAGTCTTCCAAATGCCTTATGTATGTTATCTCAGTCAATCTTCATAATAGTTTTCCAACTATCACTGTTACCATCCCTCTGTGGCACAAAGATGGAACGTATCTGGCTTAATTTCATTAGGCTATAAAATGGTAGAACTAGGATTTGAGCCCATACAGGCTTCCTCCAAGAGCCTGTACAATTAAATGCTATGTAGTGCTCCTTCTCACATTTTATAGCTTGTGTTCTATTTTACAAATAAAATCACTGGCATAGGAAGGGTTTTCTAATGAAACCAAGGCTGTACTTTTTTTAAGCATTTAGTTTGACATTTGAATCAAGTCTAATTCCCAATTTTCCTAAGATCTGGTAGGATTGGAGGGCTTTGGGCATTCTGGGGGTAACTTGGTCATTGTATTACTAAGTGGTGGGCAGAGGGAGAAAGTGTTTGAATGGAGAAGCATTCAAAAGAGGGGGGTAATAGAGTGACAGCTACACTTTGTCTATTTCAGAGTTCACATGGGTCCTAGAAGTAGAAGCTGTCACACACACATATGCACATTGTACTGAATTAACCTCATTAGAGCTAAATATAAAAAATATATTTTATTTAAATGAATAATTTGGAGAGGAAATTTTCTTTTGGGTAAAAATAGACACAAAGAAGACTGTAAGGGAAGTGGTTATATCAAGGTAGTGAAATTTGGCACACAAATTTTATTCTTTCTTCCTTTCTGGTAAATATGGTTATGCTGCTTGAATTTTAGACAGTGTATGTTTAAAAAGATGACAGTGTCAATATTGGCAAAAATTTTTGACAAATGTTTTGTTTTGTCAAATTCTCCTGATCTCTTATGTTGCTATTTAATTCCACACTATTCAACTTTGAAAATCCAGTTAACCTCACTGAATCAGTGTGAAAATTTTAGCAACAGATGTAGAACTTTAATGTGTTGAAAGTCTGTTCTGGAAAGGCATATCAATACAATCTCTTTTTGAGAAAATCCTGGTGAGATATGTTTATATTGTTACTTCATCCACTGGTATTTAGGAATACTCCTGGTCATGAATGAGCAAATTTTACCATTAAAGTGGAGATCCATTTTGTATTACTTACATGGAGTTGGAACCACTGTCCTCATTCCATACCTACCCCCACCCCCCGCCCCCAAAACTATGGCTGTTTTCCATGGAATGTTCTCTCCCAAGTTCAGATCATTCTACTTATGCTTCCCTATGCCTGGAGCATTCTGTCCGTATTTTGCCCTGCAAAATTACAATACTCACCCTTCTGCTCTCTGCTGAGACTTCACTTCATCTGTTAAGACCTGTGACTATCTTGCTTACCTTTGTTTCTCTAGTGTAATTCATGGCATTTATCTATTACCCAACAAATAGACAAATTTGTTGGGTAATAGATGGTCTCATCTACAATGGGGGCCAGAATTTAATAGCTAATACATATAGTGCTAGCAAGTGCCAGGTGCCCTATTCATTAATTTAACCCTAACAATAACCAGATGTGGTATCCATACTGTTGTTATTCTGATTTTACAGATGAGAAAGCTGAGGCTTAGAGAGATTGTGACTTGCCAGCAATTGACGGAGCTGAGGGGCTAACCCAGGGAGTCTTGTACCAGTCTATGCAGTATATGGATGAACTCTATTAATTCCTATTAAATATGGCAATTACATTTAAATGGCTAACAGGACTAATCTGAAACTTAATACCTCCCCAAAGTACAAATGTGGCTCCTTTTATTTTTAGTAGTGATTGGTTTGTGAATAATGTATCCAAAAATATTTATATTTTAGAATTGCCCCAGAATTTACTCTTAAGCAATTAAAGCCTGGCTCATTTCTATTTAAAACCCTTTACTATACCTTTTACCAACCCATGTAATCTCTTACCAGAGTTACTAAGATCTTTTAACTACTTTGTTTAGATGTAGCTGTTCAGGTTCTTTTATTTATTTTTTTTTTCCTTTCCTTTCTGAGAGCCCCTACACAATAGCTAAAGGAATATCTGTTCTAGACTGCTGCCTCAAGCCGTGTAGACCAAGGGAGAAAAGTTCCACAATCACGTAACTTACTCTGAGGAGCACCTGCTCATTGTGCCGCTTACCTCACCTCCTTTCGACTTGGAGATTCTCAAGCGGCAATTAATATGTTGTGTTTTAATGATCTACTCTAGGTAGATAGTTTCTATTTAGAACTACTGATCAATTTCCAAGAGATAAGGAGTAAGTTTCCATTGTCATCTTATTTAGCTTTATTTTTATTACCATCTTCAACAAGATGAATCCAGAAACATCCGCCACCAGTCAAGTGCCTGCTTCTTGCTAGACTCCACACTAGATGCTTTACACGTGTCCTCCAACTTTGTCTTCCCAGTGTTCTCGTGAGGGACAGAATGTCACCTGTGCAGTAACTGTGGGGTAGAGAATCTCAGTGTTTTGCAGAAGGCTTCAGAATTGGTAGGGGCTAGGATTTGAATGGAAGCCTGCCTGACTCCAAAGCCTGTACTTTCGAAAAATATTTCCAAGTAGACTGGTGCTCAGAGAGTTTGGGAGAATTGTTAAAATGTGATTTTTAAGGGCATTTTTGATAACTTACTAGAAGGAATCAGCACAAGACCTACTTTATTTCTTCACTCCTTGATAGAATAACTTTCTGTCTACATTGATGTGTTCATGGTAGAAGAATGTATGCTGGTCTGGTTCTATTTCAAAGCATCAGATGTTCTCTTTTAAAATGAGAGGATTATTAATGTACCCCAAGGCTGGGGTGAGGGTGGGTAAAGAGTCAGCACCTTTCTGTAATGGATCTTTGTTTCCTGTAGGACTCATGGGAACCATGGAGTTCAAATTGGAGATACTAGGTGGGAATACTTGACCCCACACTGTAGGCTGAGTACATCAGTGTCCTCCCAGGCATCAGGCTTCATCAAGTGAAGTTCATGCCTTCAGTTGTATAGTGTTGTAGAACGATAATCATCGTTTTCCACTCGTGATTGGTTTTAGGCACATTGTTACATGCCATTACCAATGTACCCATTACTCACAGAGGTGATGCTTCTACTGGATGAATTGAGCCCATT